GGACGCAGCAGCGCCGAGCCAGGAGCGCTGAGGAGGCGGCTGGTTCAAAGCAAAGCGCGAGCAAAGTAGGGTGAGGAAACTGCTATGGATCGTAGAGTCCATAGAGTGGTTTGGGTGGGAGGGGACCTTTACAGTTCGTCTAGTCCAGCCCCCTGCAGTGAGCAGGGGCATCTTCAACTAGCCCAGGTTGCCCAAAGCCCCATCCAACCTGACCTTGAACACTTCCAGGGATGGGGCATCCACAGCTTCTCTGGGCAACCTGTGCCAGGGCCTCACCACCCTCATCCTAAAAAAACCTTCTTCTTTAATCTAAACCTACCCTCTTCCAATTTAAAACCTTGTCCTGTCACTCCATGCCCTTGTAAACAGTCCCTCCCCATTCTTCCTGTAGCCCCTTTAGGTACTGGAAGGTGCTCTAAGATCTCCCCAGAGCCTTCTCTAGGCTGAACAACCCCAACTCTCTCAGCCTGTCCTCACAGGAGAGGTGCTCCAGCCCTCTGATCAGCTTCGTGGCCTCCTCTGGACTCGCTCCAACAGCTCCATGTCTCTCCTGTACTGGGGCCCCCAGAGCTGGACGCAGTACTGCAGGTGGGGTCTCACAAGGGCGGAGTAGAGGGGCAGGATCCCCTCCCTCGACCTGCTGCTCACACCTCTTTGGATGCAGCCCAGGACACGGTTGGCTTTCTGGGCTGCGAGTGCACATTGCTGGGCCATGTCCAATTTTTCATCCACCAGTATCCCCAAGTCCCTCTCTCAATCCCTTCATCCCACAGTCTGTATTGATATTGAGGACTGCCCTGACTCAGGTGCCCTTGGCCTTGTTGAACTTCGTCCAGTCTATGAATTTCATGAGGATCCTCACTGCTATTGCTCCCTGGGAGTGTGTCAGTGTGTGGAGACAGCGCTGTGCCTGTGCTGTGAAGGAGCCTGGCTGCGCTCTGAAGTGTATGAGCAAGCAGGTAGCCAGTGCTTTGAGGGAGAGTTATTTCCCTCTGGTCAGCCCTTGTAAGACTTTGTCTGGAGTACTGAGTCCAGTCCTGGGCTCCCCTGGACAAAAAACAGCATCACTGTTTTGGAGCAGGACTGCTGAGCTGGTCTGGGGCTGGAGCACATGATGTGTGAGGAGAGGCTGAGAGCTGGGTGTCTTCAGCCTTAAGAGTAGGAAAAAAACTGTGTATCACTGTTTGCACATGGGGGTAGACTCTTCTTGGAGGTGCATAACGAAAGGGCAATGGACATCTTTTCTTTTTCACTATGAGAATGGTCAAACATGGACACAGAGAGGTTGTGGGCCAGTTCCCAGGTGCTGTTTAATTTATTAGAGTAGATGTTGCATGTCCTCAAATGTGAGCAGAGAATCTCTCTCTGCTCATCAGGTCTCTATGTGCACTGTGCAAAAGCTGGAGCTTTATAGGAATGTCCTGGTTTCAGCTGAGGTAAAGTTACTTTTCTTCATAGGAGCTGGTATGGGGCTGTGTTTTGGATTTGTGCTGGAATCAGTGTTGATAATATAGAGATGGTTTTGTTATATACAGATGTTTTAGTTACTGCTGAGCAGTGCTTGCACAGAATCAAGGCCTTTTTTACTTCTCACACCGCCCCACCATTGAGTAAGCTGGGGGTGCACAGAAGCTGGGAGGGGACACAGCTGGGACAGCTGACCCCGGTTGACCAAAGGGATGTTTCATACCATATGATGTCATGCTTAGCTTATAAGGGGCTTGGGGAAGAGGAAGGGCAGGGATGGCGGCCTTTGGAGTGATGGCGTTTGTCTTCCCAATTCACCATTACACGTGACGGAGCCCTGCTTTCCTGGAGATGGCTGAACGCCTGCCTGCCCATGGGAAGTGGGGAATGAATTCCTTGTTTTGCTTTACTTGCTCATACGACTTTTGCTTTACCTATTAGGCTGTCTTTATCTCAATGCGCAAGTTTTCTCACTTTCACTCTTCTGATTCTCTCTCCCATCCCACTGGGGGACAGGGAGCAAGCGGCTGCGTGGTGCTCAGCTGCCGGCTGGGGTTAAACCACACCAAGGAAGTATTCTATGTTCTGCTGAATGCTAACTGTCCCAAATGCCTGTTCCAGGGAAAGCATGCACATCTGAAACAGACCTTGATGGGTATAGAAACAAGCAAATATATGTGTACATGTGACCATGTACCACACGCTTTATTTATTTCTGCCAAAATACACATGCGTGGGCACACATAGGTAAGTCTTTGCGTTTGCGGTGTTGAAGAAAATCCTTCTCAACAAGGTGGAGTAATTCACCTTGATCCCGTGTCAGGTCGGGGCAAAACTGCTCCTGCAGGCTTGCTGCTCTGCAGTCTCTTCAGATGAGAGAGGGGTCTGAGCACGTGTTTTAGGTACTAGGTGCCAGGTGCTGATGCGTCGTTAGATTGTTCCATGCCTCTACTTTATAAAACACTCATCTATGTTTTTTGTCTCCTCACAGCTTGAAAGTTAAATTATACTGCTCACCGGTAACTAAGGAACTGCTGCTGACTAGCCGGAAATACAAGTTTTGGGAGAATCACATTGTGAGTTTTTGTTTATTTTTAAATTATCACTTTCTAAGCGGTGATTCTAGGGAAGAAGCAGCTTTCCCTCCTCAGAAATGTTGGAATATTGGTGTTGATACAGTGTTTCAGGGCTTAAGTACCTACGTCAGTATGCCTTTCCTTGCTGCTTGCTATGTGGGATCGGTTTATTGTTGTTTACTGTTTAATGTTATTTTTCCCTCCAGAAAATTTATCCTTTGCTCTTAACTTCCGCTTTAAATGTTGTCCATCTGTACTTTGATCATTTGTCTTGCTCCTTCGTTTCCTTACCATGCTCCTATCTCTTTGCTCCTGTCCTTATTTCATTTTCCTTTTGCTTCATTTAAAGTCTCGTACTGCTTGGAGTATGTATAATCTTTTAGTTACATTATTTTCCTTTTACTTTTTGTAAAATGGACTCTCTCTAACATGAAAATATTTTAGTGATGTAAAATCACCGAAGAACTTAATTAGTTTGCTTGATTTCCACTATTTGGAGCCAGAATTCAAGTGATCAGTGGTCACGTATGGGTATGACTTGTAGTTACTTATTTCCTTCCTTTTGCAGATGCAGGCTTTGAAATTGAACGTGTTTCTTTTCACATCTTACTATACGTACATACATCATCACATAGCATAAGGATTTTGCTGTATCCCTCAAGCAAGGACAGGAGAGTTTTCTAGTCAAGTGGAAGGTCAAGAAGGATCTCGGGCAAGCTGAAGCTTGTTTCCTTGGGGGAGTTATGACTTAGAGTTTCCTTAAGTAGGTTTTAAGTGTGGGTCTTAAGCTTTATATCCAACGAAAGTCGTACAAGTGGGACCTAGGAAGTAAGTCAGGCTAAGAGAAAAAAGAGAAGTAGGGAACTTTTCTGTTCTGGGACCTAGTTTAATTGTGAAGCTGAGGGAGAAGATAACTACCTTTATACTGAAGCCTTGAGAAATGGAAACATTTAATGGTTTGTAGCATGAACGTGATTCAGGACTCTGTAAAAAAGACTCAGAATGTCCCTTAGGCATCTTTGATCTGTGAAGGAGCACAGTGTGCGTAGGTGACAATTTTTCTAAGCCCGTAATCTTCTTGGACTAGCAAAAATACAAGATGGGTTTGTGGTGGTTTTTTTGTTGGTGTTGGTTGGGTTTTTTATTTTCATTTTTAAGCTTGTTTCCTTTTGCTTCCAGTATCCCTTGAGTTTAACCTAGAGGAAGAGGTCCCTTGCAGGGAGATACCTGTAAGCTATTAGGAGTTTGTATGAGCCGTAAAAGGAAAGTAGGCAATGCTGATCTTGACATCCCTGTTTGCGAAAATATTAATCTGGGAAGAGATGCCAGAGATACCCATGGTGCAGTCTAAGATGAAGCACAATTAACACAAATCAACACAATTAAAAAAAAATACGTAGGTGTTTGCAGGTGGTGCTCCCAGGAGTGACTGCTGGTAATGGCAGAAGCTACACAGGCCCTAAATCAGATAGTAGCTGTTGGATGCCTTGTTCACAAACTTTGTCTTACAATAAATAAGCTTTCTACTTGTAGCATGACTGGGAAATGAATTAACAGCTGATTTGATACTCACCAGACTGAAAGAAGCAATCACGATATCAGCTTCCAGACAAATGTTTTTATGATTTCCAGTCTGACCTTTATTTGTACGTACGGCATGAAAGGCTCTTTGAATCTGCTGCTGGCTTTAACATTTAAACTGTCATCAAAGATGAGGGGAGAACTCTGCTGGAGATATCATTTATGCTCATGAAGTTAAACTGTGGCTGTCAGTGAAGAATTCTTTGGGCAGTTTAAACTTGACAATTGTTTCACTGCAGTAGGAAATTTGAGAATTACTGAGAAATATTGAACATGCAGAATTTAGATCAGCCTCCTGAGTTTATTCAGCTTCAGAATTTGTAGATGATGAAATTAGTATTGATGTTTAAAAAAATCAACTCTTGTTAGTGGCTTGGATTCTTAGTATAGGTTTTTGACACATGCACTTGTGTTTTGGAGCAAGCTCTGAGTTTGATCGGTGTAGCGGGTTTTGGTAGAGAAGCCAAATGTTGCCTTCTTTGTCTGAGTACCAGCTGAATGGATCTCACTGCCCAGGAATTTTTGATGCGGTATCTTGTGAACCCCAATGTGCTGAGGAGACCACTCGGCTGAGAAGCTGGACGTTCTACCCAAGGAGGGTAATAACAGGAGACTTTCTTTTCACTTTGGCTTTTTTGGGCAGGAAAATGATATACAAATATTGTTTAAAATAAAGGGAAAGAACAAACCAGGAGGATGGGAGAGGAGTCTGCGTAGCGGTGCTAACCTTGCAGATGGCCACAGAGCATTTATGTTGCGGGACTCTGTTTTTAGTAGAGGATGTGGCAAAACAGGGGATTAATTGCAGTCTGTAGATTAATCACCCCTACACAAACACAGAAATACCCGCTGCATGTGATTTGTGGCCTCTGCGTCTGGTCATAGGGAACAGTGAGGAGAAGTTGTGCTGCGGCACAGAGACCTGTCCGAGCAAGATCCACTGGTGTGCTCTGGGACCGGGATGTCTTGGGCTTTGCAGTTGTCCAAAAATAAGGCATATGATCCAGCCAGAGAAACCTGAGCTGCTGCTGTTAGAAGTGCAACGTTCTAACTTTTTTAAGCATGCATACCTTGATAGGGGTATCTCCATTTAATTTTTAGACAACTTTTAGAAACCTGTTTTTTCCACTGGAAATGGAAATGCATGAGTTACTATGGGAAAATGGGCTTAATTTTACAGGCTTAGCATTAGCTGCAGTCAGTGCTAAAGATGTCTACATAACGAATACTTAGCCATAAGCATGAAACAAAATCTTCAGTACATCCTGTAAAGGATTTATTCATTTTGTTACAGGTTGCATTGGAAGTTGAAACTCCAACTCAGATTTCTTTAGTGGATGAAACATCTGGTGAGGTAAGTCACAAAAAAAAAGATTCATATGTTTGTAATGGGCAGTAATACCGTTTATGTAAGCTTGGGAAGTGGATCTTGCCTGTAACACCCAAAGTGGACAAGCTATTTTTAAAATGTATGTTCCCCTTCCTCTCTCCAAGGTGTGTAGCCACATGAATTCTTCTTCCCTACTTTGTTCTTATTCTCATAGCATTTGGGGTTCTTTTTAAAATGTTTTTCCACTGTATTAGTGATCTCCAACTTCCCTTTTTCTCTTGTGATTTTTTTCACCTCCATATTTCGTCACTTATTTTAACAAGTTTTAACTGCGGGACTTAAAAGTCAGGTACAGGCCTGGTAGAGCATCTCCAGGCAAAGTGTATTCCAAGATGTTTCCGTGATGCTTGTTCACCAAAAACCAAGGAAGGAGGACTGTCTTTCTGGCTGAATGGCTTTCATGAGCACCATACAAAATTCAGTCATCTCTTCTGGCATTACAGGGTGTTCATTGCTCTTCAGGGCTTCTTGGAATGCGAAGAGACTTTCTCTTTGTCAAAAGCAATGCTGAATGCTGCAAGAGGCCCTGGGGAGTTATGTATTGCTTTCACTGTGTCAGTAAAACTCCTGGTAGTACTTATTACAGTGTGAAAATAATGCTAACCATCTCTTCCAGAAAGAAGATATAGAGGTGACACTTCTACCAGCTGGTCACTGTCCAGGATCAGTCATGTACGTCCTTTCAGTACTCTAAATGACTCTGCTGAGAAATTTGTCCTATAGAGTTCTCACTAAGTGCTGTGGTTTTTCTAACTAGAAAAAGCTAGTGAATTTAAAATTCTTACTTGGAGATAAGAGTGTTGTGGCAGGGCCCACCAGCTTTGGTCAAGGTTGGAAAACCACTGTACTATCTGGGATCTGTCCAGACAGAAGTTGTTCCCTTGGTGGGGCAGATTACTTTTCCCAATGCCTATGAATAACAGCTTTTTTGTTTTCAATGGTACTTAAAAATTACATACAAAACTGTGATTAAAAATAAATCCTTCATTTCTTAAGTATGACATTAGAAAGAAGGTGCCCAGCTTCCTGGTACACATACATAATAGATTCCTTTGGCTGCAACAGACAGCTGGGCTACCCTCACAATCTGTGAGGCTTTTGTCTTCAACTCTGACCAGCCTAGGCACAGGTTATTTTCCAGGCATACTGAGTCTGAATTATTTGGTTTATCTGAAATTATTCTAGGACCAGATTCAGCCCAGTATTTCTATTACATCATTCATTAGTCATGCAGACTGCTCTAAGGAAGGTAACAAATTGACACCGGGCATTTAATGCTTTATATTGTTGAGTTTGACTCAGTGTTTCTGTCTGTAGGTTTTTGTTTGAAGGTGAGAATGGCACTGTGCTGTATACAGGGGATTTCAGGCTTGCAAAAGGAGAAGCAGCCAGAATGGAGCTTTTGCATTCAGGGAGCAGGTGAGACTTCAGCTGTTCATGGGGTTTAGAAAGAATAAAAGATCTCACAGGCATCGACAATTCAGGAATAATGTCATCTTTTTTCCTCTTTTTTTATTCTGGATTAAATATATTTGCAGTCAGGCAATATTGCAGTTACAAGCCCCTTTTGACTTGCTCTTTGTAATAAAGAGGAAGAATCGCCTCCTTTAGAAGAGAGAGGAAGTGGTGTATCTTACTACTGTGATGCACTGCTCACTCTGATATCACATTTCTCTTTCAGAGTAAAAGACATCCAGAGTGTGTATTTGGACACCACTTTTTGTGATCCCAAATTTTATCATATACCAAGCCGGGTAAGTCTAAATAAGCTGTGAGAGGAAAGGTCCTTAAAGCTGCTAATTAATTAACCAGCCCTTTGTTAGGGTTAAGTCTTCCAAGGCAATGCCATTTTGCGTTACCAAATCACAGTACTTTGGAAGTATCTTCAAAGATGATATTTTCTAAACTTTTCAGGAGGAGTGTTTAAAAGGGATCTTAGAGTTAGTGCGAAGCTGGACCTCGCTGACTCGCTATCATGTTGTGTGGCTGAATTGCAAAGCTGCTTACGGATATGAATATTTATTCATAAACCTCAGTGAGGAACTTGGAATCAAGGTAACATTTCTGTAATTGTTGCTTTAGAATTGATCCTCAGGAATGATTGTGGCCAGTCACTGAGCTGGAAATGGCTGCACAGAGGACTGCTGTATGTGAAAGATGTACATGCTTTCATCACCTACACTTAAAAAGCTACAGTTGTGCCCAAAATAAGTTAACTAGTTGATTTCAGTCTGGAACATCTGGGCTCTTGACGTGGTTTAGCTCTCCAGGGAGAAGTTGATCCCCAGTGTTTACCTCTCTCCCTTTTATCTTGTGGTGCATTGACCCTGGCTGGAGGCCAGGTGCCCCCCAAAGCCACTCAAGTGGACAGGGGAGGGTTGTGGGTCGAGATAAGGACAGGGAGAGATCGTTCACTAATTACCATCACGGGCAAAACAGACTGAACTTAGAAAAAATTCATCTAATTTATTACCAAGCAAAACAGAGTGGAGCAATGAGAAATAGAACCAAAACTTAACACACCTCCCCCCACCCCTCCCATCTTCCTTGGCCCAGCTTCACTCCCCATTTCTCTCCCTCCGTCCCCCCAGCAGGACAGGGGGAGGGGGAATGGGGGTTGTGGTCAGTTCATCACACCTTGTCTCTGCCGCTCCTTCCTCCTCAGGGGGAGGCCTCCTCACACTCTGCCCCTGCTCCAGCCTGGGGTCCCTCCCAACGGGAGACAGTCCTCCACCAACTTCTCCAACCTGAGCCCTTCCCATGGGCTGCAGTTCTTCACCAACTGCTCCAGCATGGGTCCTTCCCATGGGGTGCAGTTCTTCACCAACTGCTCCAGCATGGGTCTCTCCCATGGCGTACAGACCTTCAGGAGCAGACTGCTCCAGCGTGGGTCTCCCACGGGGTCACAAGTCCTGCCAGCAAACCTGCTCTGGCGTGGGCTCCTCTCTCCATGGGGCCACAGGTCCTGCCAGGAGCCTGCTCCAGCGTGGGCTTCCCATGGGGTCACAGCCTCCTTCAGGTGCCTCCACCTGCTCCAGCATGGGGTCCTCCACAGGCTGCAGGTGGAATCTCTGCTCCACCATGGACCTCCATGGGCTGCAGGGGGACAGCCTGCCTCACCATGGTCTTCTCCAGGGGCTGCAGGGGGATCTCTGCTCCTGCTCTGGTGCCTGGAGCACCTCCTGCCCCTCCTTCTGCATTGACCTTGGTGTCTGCAGGGTTGTTCCTCTCACATCTTCTCACTCTTCTCTCTGCCTGCAACTGCTCCTGGTGGGTTTTTTCCCCCCTTCTCAACTCTGTTATCCCCGAGGAGCTGCCACCATCGCTGATGGGCTCAGCCTTGGCCAGCGGCAGGTCTGTCTTGGAGCCGGCTGGCATTGGCTCTGTCAGATGTGGGGGAAGCTTCTGGCAGCTTCTTGTAGAAGACACCCCTGTAGCCCCCTCCCTACCAAAATCCTGCCACACAAACCCAAAACACTTGTGCATGATGAAAGCCTTCTCACTTACACATGACGTTAATAGTTAGCAGATATATTCTGACTTTCATTGATGAATATTCATCCCTCTTCAGCATAGGAGGTATGTTCTGCTTGTTCTAGATGTCCAAGTTTCTTTCGGCTAACACTTCTCCACTTGGACATTATTAATGGGTAGTAATTGTTTAAATGCCTACCAGCATTTGTTGTGAGCAGAACCACATCTGCAGAGTTGCTCCAACTGCAGTCTGGAGCTAAGACGTTGAGCTAATTAAGAGTAAACTCTGCTTTTCTCCAGGTGCATGTGAACAAACTTGATATGTTCAGAAACATGCCAGAAATTCTCTACCACGTTACTAGAGACCGACACACTCAGATTCATGCCTGCCGACATCCTCGGGTGTGTAGCATTTTGCAAAGCCTCTGCTAACTTTGCTGTGACTGATGGGTTATAGGTGCTAATGTTTTGGTTCTGTTGTGCTAATGAAGGCTTGGGCTAAATGGTAGCTTAGTGCAAAAGAGAGTGAGAACTTTAGTTAGTGGGCTGAAGTTGTGGGTTGTTTGTTGGGTTTTTTTTAAAGAACAAAAAGGAAAAAAATATGCTAGAAATAACTTAATTGTATTTGAAAGTTTACAATTGTATTTTTAAGTGAAGACAAGTAGCAGATTAGATCTGTCAGGTATTACCCACTTAAATACAAAAAGCAAGTTCATATGGTCTGTCCTGCAGCCATGCACAGTGTGCTTGTAGTGTATGGCCTTCCCTTTCCAGGATGTCTATCAAGCTGAAGGCTCCAACTTGGAGGAGAGCCAGTAGAACAGGGGATGGCACATTGGGGCATTGGTCTTTGTGATTGATTTACTTTGTCAAGTGCACTGTGGAAGCAGGATGCTGCAGCAAAGTGTTTCAGAGCAGTTGGAAGTGAGATGAAAAGTTGGTCTGGCTAGATATTATGTTGCTCAATTTTGGGGGAAAAAAGGTCAGGGTTACACTTAATTTTCTATTGCGTTTGGCAGGATGATGACTGCTTTCGAGGGAACAGACTGCCCTGTGGGATGACTTGCCAAAATGGAACTCCCTTGCACATCATCAGCATCAAACCCTCCACTATGTGGTTTGGAGAAAGGATCAAGAAAACCAATGTAATAGTGAGGTGAGCATTTGGGCCATCCGGAAACTTGTTGCTTCAGGTGCATATCTTGCCTGATGCTTGTGTAACTGAATCTCAAAATGGACTTTTTAAGAGTAGATTATGCTTGCCTGTGGACAGAGGATGAAGAGCAGTTACCTAATTTTTGTGCCTCCTCTTTTTTTTTTTTAGGACTGGTGAGAGTACCTACAGAGCTTGCTTCTCTTTCCACTCTTCATACAGTGAGGTTTGTATATTTGTAGTACTTGAGTATACATTGATTAAAAAATAAAGGAGCTTTGATTATTTTGGAGTGGATGGCATGACTTGTCACAGTAAAAAAAATCTTTTCAGTAATAAGACATAGGGGATAGGAAGTTCTGGATGCTGAAGACAGAGAAGTCTGTTTTAACATAGGTGCAGAAGAACATGTCAAGGTAGGGCAGGATTATAAGCCTATTATTTTTTGTTCTCTCAAAGTATTGGTCACTGCTACAATTGTTTTGACTCCCTTTTTATTTTAGATTACTGTGTAACTATGCAATGCTTAAAGCTTGGCATTTTGGTTTTCAATACATTATCTGCTGTGACTCAGTTTTGGGCGGGTTTGCTGCCTTTTCCTTGCCCACATATCTAAACAGAATTTTTCCACATTGTAGCTGCCGCTGTTACTCCTCTTTCTGTGTAAAAGACTAAAAGGAAATTGGTCATGGTAGCTCTTCTCCAGCATCACACACTTTCATTTCATATGACTCAATCCAATTCTTAAAATACTTCTCTCTCCTAAGAAACTGAACTGAAACGGGATCAGTGCTAACAATTAACCTGTCACAAAGCCTCGCACATACAAAATGGAGATTGTTCTGAGCCCTAGGAAGATGGTTCTCTTGTTAAGATCCTGGTTAAGTTTCAATTTTCTCTGCCATGCAGAATTTTAAATGGAGGTACTAGCGCAGTACGTACAACGTGGCAGCTTTGCTGGCAGAATATGGAGGGTCGTGTATTGTAACAGACTCGTACCTCCACATGCAAAAATAGATGGATCCTACTGGTCTGCATGGATAGGAGTGTAATCTGCAAACTTGCAAGTGTTTTCAGTGCTCAGCACTGATAAAGCCTCAGCTGGAGTGGAGTGCCCCAAACTGGACACAGTTCTTCCAGAAATTTACTGTCTGCAGAGCATCTAGAAGTCAACAGAGTAAGGCCTGGAAAAAGTGACGTGTTTTGTCATAATGGGCTTTTATAGTGGACCAAAGGAAGACTTTAGGAAAAGTCTTTCAGGAAGGAAATACCTGATCTGCACGACTAGGGACTTGAAGTCCAGTAAGAAAAATGCAGGTCTGAAAAGACCTACAGCAGTAAGGACAGTGAAGCATTGGATCACGTTCCGTAGGAAGAGGTTTGTCTAGCCTTTTCTTTCAGAGATAGTGATGGCCAGGCGCGTAGTAGTCGATAACTGCTGTGAGGTGGTTAGGTGAGGCTGAGTTCTCAGCATCCTTCCAGGGATGTTTTTCTGTTATGGAGCTATCCGCTTTGATAAGAGTTTGGCTCGTGGGTCATACTGGTCTTTGCACAAGGCAACTGGTAGTACTTGTTGTGGGTGTGCTTTGATCAGTACTGCCATTAAGTGAAATTATTAACTGTTGATGTAACTTATTAACCAGCTGCTTCTTTTCAATTTAGATTAAGGATTTCCTGAGCTATATCCGCCCTGTGAATGTGTATCCCAATGTGCTGCCAGTGGGTAGGACAGAAGACAAAGTTATGGAAATGTAAGTGACCGGTGGCTGCTGAACGGAGGTGATCCGATCTCTGTTCTTGTAGGACAACCCCCTCCTGAATCCCAGCCTCTCAAGCAGGCCATGGCCTTTTGCTTTACTTGTCTGATAATTCAGATTTTTTTTCCCCCTATAATCAGTCCTGCAGACTTCAGCTTTCTGAAGATCACCTGTATGTTGTGCTAAGTCTGAGAGTTTATATTCCACATGTTACTTACACCTGTGTATAGAGGCTTTTCCGCTCTTAAACTCGGGGTGGAATCTGAATACACATTCATCTCATTTTATTCTGTGACCTATTTCTATTTGTCATTACTACTTGTCAGAAGTTTCTTTTTAAAGAGGATTTTTCTGGGGACTTGAACTCTTAGCCTCTGTATGGCATCAGAGGCCTGTACTTTTGTGCTGCTCCAGATGTTAGCAGCTTAGAAAGCAGCACAGCAGCGGTGTCACTTGGTCTGAACAAAATGAAGGCTTGTTTCTTTGTTCCTTTTTCTTTTCCTCCTTAATCAGAAAGGAGATACGTTACAATTATTGAATAAAACTGCAGTCAGGTTTTGAACATCTTGTCTTCTCTAAGCAAGGCACTAAAAGACAGTTTCCAACCGGTGTACGTGTTTTAAGGTAAATATATAGAAATGACAGATTTCTACCTTTAAGCTGCCTAAACTCACCAATGAATTAAGAACTTTTCCCTAGCTATTGCTGCCTTTAACAATTTTACCGCAGTGTACTTACTTAGATGAAGTTATGAGCTCCTGAAAGTATCTGCTGAGTTCTAAATGTGAATCGCTTTTCTCATTCACCTCAGATTAAAGCCATTATGCAGGTCCTACAGGAGAAACATGGAACCCAGGTACAAGCCCTTAGGAACACTGAAGAGACCCCACAAGAGAGACTCATCTGACACAGGTAAAGGTTCTGCTGGTGCTGCTGTGCCTCCAGTGTCAGTCTGGGACTAAGCAGAGGTGCCAAAAGCCATGGGGGTCACCACAGTCTGTCTGTGCTCAAAGCAACGGTTAGAAAGGAGAAACATAAATTAAATGAACTTAGGTTTTAGGAGGGTGAGAGAGCACTAATTGTGTAAGAGCACAAGCACGCTTGTTTATGATCTTAAAATGTGCTTCATGCTTAACAGCCCTTTAAGTTTTGGAAGAGTTTCACTTTGCAGTCCTGGACCATCCCTAGTAGAGCTGTTTCTAACGGAACTTTGCTTCTATCACCTCCTGCGTGGTGGGGGGCAGAGTGGCGTATCAGTGGAATTGCTCCTCTTCATTATCTCGTGCTGCTGGCTGTTTAACGCCCAGCAGCTTTTTTAAGCTCTGCTGGTAGGTGGATGCTGTGCACAGCTTCTGGAAAGCCACATGGGAACTAGAAGACAACTTTGGGCCTGCTGCATTCTCTGCAGCTATTTCTGAAGCGCCAAGGGTGATATAGTCCTACCAAGGCATGTCAGAGGCCCGAATAAATGAATAAACGTGCTACATCTGATCTGCTGCATCTGACATGGAGGGTGACAACTAGCAGCTTTCCTTGTAAGGCACTGTGCTGGACGAGGCAAGGCAAACGCTGTCAATAATGTCCTGCTAAGTGTCCATCTGGGTTAAAGAACTTTTTCCTCTCCTCATACTAAATGGATTTTTATTAAAACTTTGCTCTCACAGAATTTTGTCAGAGATCTGAACTTTTCTTAGTGTTGGTTTGGTTTTTTTTTCCCCTCTGTTCTTTTCTTGACAGATGAAGATGATCTCTTTGACTCAGAATTAACTTCTGCAAGGCCTAAGATTCTAAAACAGCAGGGAGAAGAGAGCAGGCTCTCCAACACAGGACAGTCTGAGAGCACAGAAGGTTGCAAAGTGACCGCAACTTACATCTCCCCCAAGGTAGACTTCATGGACTGTGAGGAATCAAATGATGATGATGATGATGACGATGAAGAAGAATCTGAAATAAATGTAGTTCAAGTTCTTTCCCATGAGCCAGATGCCACTTCCACAGCAAATTTTGATGGAGTAACAACTAGTGACCAACAGGAGTCTAATGCCGACGTCCCTCGCTGGGATGCATTTTTTAAGTGTAACAAACCAGAAGAGAGCTCTGAAAATGAGGAGAACTTCCCATCTTCAGCAGATGCTGGTGGGTCCCAGTCACTCTTCAGTGATTCAGATGGCGTAAGCGACTCAACACACATCTCCTCCCAGAATTCTTCTCAGTCTACGCACATATCGGAGCAGGGGAGCCAGGGCTGGGATAGCCAAATGGACACAGTACTCATCACCTCCCAAGAGAGAAACGCCTTGGACTGTAGCTGCTTCGGCAGAGGTGGGAGCAGAGCAGTCGTTTCCATAGTGCAGGAGACCGCCAAAGACAGTCAACCTGACAACAGTCGGTGGAAGCCACTGGGTCAAAACAGATGTTGTGCGAAAGACGCAGAAGCTGGCACTGCTCATGCTCAGGATGTGCTGGCTGAAGGAAGTGACAACTCCAGGACGCCTGATCTGGAACTGAGGAGGGACTCGCAGAGCTCCTCCGACTTCGAAATTCCCTCCACTCCTGATGCTGAAGCACCTCAGCCCGATAAACTGCACTGTTTATATAAGAAGCTAGCGGCAGGTGAAAACATACTGAGTATGAAAAAAGTCTCCTGAAGACAGATGTAACTGATTACATCATAACAAAGGCTGAACTTTGTTTATTAAACCCTGAATCATTTTTCTAAGTGCTGATTACTATCTGCTGCTATGCTAATTCCTGAATTTTTATAAGAAATATCTTACTGTCAGATCTAGGAATCTGCAGCCTGTGTAACCTTATTGTTCATTCCATGAAGTACTGAAAAGGAAGCATTTGTAGGAGGGACTGTAAAAGCCTTCTACCTCCCGAGGTTCTTGTCTCCAGGACAAAAAAATGGACCAAAACTAAGGGCAGAACACTAGATGAAACTTAGTGTTTCTCCGTATCACGAGCTCTAAGAGTTTGCTGTTGGTATATATATATGATCTCAGGTTTTAATAAAATACCATGTTTTTAACTGTGGGGAGGAACACAACATCTTTCAGAAACAACCACGCAAACAATGCAATAGTGGCACTTTGACTTTAATCCTGAGTTTTCACTGCAGTTATTTCTAAAAGCAACTGCAGAACAGACTAGAGAATTACTGGCAAAAGTTGGGGTTTTTTTTGGTTTTTTTTAAATCAAATTGTTCTTTTCAAGCAGTCTCTCTTCACACTGAGCAAGTGTTGTTAGCCGATCTAACTCCTGAATGAGGTGCTATATGGCATTGGCTATGGTTTTAACTTGTCATCAGTTTCTCCATGGCTTGGACTGTTCTGATTTTTCAGAAAGACTTAAAAGTCCTGTGGCACGTGGCTCCAGAGCCACCACAGCAGCCTGCTCTGGAGGCTGTCACAGCAACAGAAGGTAACCTGTTATCCTGGGCAGGTTCTTCTGTTTCTCAAGGCTCTTGCATTACCAAATTTCACCTCCCCTGCAACATTCCATTGCCTACACTCACCTGAGACATGTTTAGATTTCTTTTTTAAAATCAAGACAATAGTCTCCATGCACATATGCTGTCATAACTAAATCTTTGCCGAAATCTTTAGCTTCTAAAATGAAAATGTAATTCAGGTTTTTGTTAAATTGCAGTGCCTACAAAAATGCCTAAACAAACAGCAGAAGTCATGTAAAAATCTGTGAGATTTCCCATCCATGTGGTCTTAAGACAGAAAGAATTAAACAGACTTTCAGTATGACAGCTGTCCCCCCCTGTGTACATCGTAAGTCTTTCTGCTGTCTTTAGTGAAACGGGAATATTAAACCAGCCAGCATTCTGCTATTAGGAACAGCGGCAGGAGGGGAAGGAAAAAAATAATAATTGCTATCATCAGCTATGTATGGTTTTAAGGATATTCAAGTCTATATATTTCTGCCCTGTCACCTTGCCCATTCTCTTCCTGGGATTTGTTAACATAATTCCCAAATGTGGTCTATCAACGCTTTTTTTTAAAGCGGGCCTGAGTGAGTGAAACTGCTGTTGTACCTACCTCTGCAAATAAAGTCACACAGAACAGAATTTCTTATGTTGGCTTGTCTCCTTAATGGTACTATACGCTGAAGTTCAGGGCTGTATTTACAGTGTGCTTAAATATACAGGAACCCAGTCTGCTTTAGACAAGTTGATGGTATAAATTTATACCAGTTCTTATTGGCCATAAACTGAATAGGAAACATGACTTTGATTCCTCTACTACAGTCCCCATAGTGCTAGAAAATTTGGGTACAGGACAGGCATTAAGAGGTTACAGCCTTAAGGCAAATTCTGCTGCTCCAGCTACAGCTAATTGTGACAGACTAAGATTATTATTATTTTTTTTAAGAATGACAACAACAAAAGAAAAACTAAATTTAATTTATTTTATCAAAAACTATAGGAAGATAGCAATACTTGAGATCACACATTATGAAAAGAAAATGTTCCTGAGCTTACAAACTGCATATTCTAATGTATACAGTCCTAAAACATACATTAGAAATAACCAAAAGATTGACTTGGAGATTAAATAGACAATAGCTTTCTTACAGGTGATCTTGCAGCTTTAGTTTTGCTACCAAAAAAACCCCAACAAGTTAAACCCAACAAAAAAAGAACAGCTAGAGGATAGATCACAGGTTACCAGTCTCTAAGAAGTGCGTATACACAACTGAACCGGTGGACATAATGATGCTAACAGACCACAAAGCAAAACAAAGGCAGAAGCTGGGCTGGTTTAGGCTCCTTAAGAAATTCAAAATAGCTTTTTCTCCTTTTCCGATTTGGCAATTTTCCTCCAAACTCATAAAAACAGCAAAAGGAGTTTTAAAAGTGACACAGTGTCCCATTAAGCTAATTCACCGACTGCAATCCAAATGCACTGTGAATAGGTGAATATAAAATACTGTTCAAGGCTCTAAACTGGAAACATGAGTTTACTTCAGATGAATATGAAATACTGTTACCTCCCAGAAGATAAATTAACGGTCCTTTATTTATCACACAAGAGGTAACACACACAACCTTAAAGAACAGCAGTGTTATTCCAATGCTGCTGGTAACAAATACTGCCTCGGGAAAAAGGCAGACACTGAACTCAAGTACAACTTCTAAGACTTTTATCTTTTCAAATGCATTTACTTGCCATTTTTAAATCAAAGTGGGCATGGACATAAATAGACAAAAAGAGTGTCGAACCAGCCCTGCGTCATCTTGTACAGGAGAGGCCAGAGAAACTGATTTGGTAAGGAATCCATTTCTTGCTGAAGCCACTCTCGCCACCCTGTACCGACAGGGAAGGCTGCAGACTGCAGCGGATTAAGGAGCTGGAGATTGCAGATTCCATCCACGTGGAATGCATCGCCGAATCGGGCTACATGCAAGAGAAAGCACTAATGACTCCAAATGATGTAAGATCATCTAGAGTTTGCTAACATTAAAGCTCCACAAAATATATATAAAGTTTTATATATATATATATAACTTCATATATATTAAAAAGTCATTAGAGATGTGGTGTAATAAAAATTGACTAGATTCAGCATTGACTAGATTCAGTGGATACAGGTGAGCCTGGTAATGACAAATACTTTTAAATCTAAGCAAACTCTCTTATTTCAACGTGTATCTCTTTGTATTGCAGATTACAAAACTTACACAGCACTTTCAGTGGCTCACGGTCTTCACCCCAACCATGAAACTGATTTTGGCCAGTAGCATATAAAATGTCACTTTCTGCCAAAGAGCCAGATCTTCAGTGCAAATGCAACTGTGCTTCTTAATGAAAAAACAACCTGCATTATCCTTTGAAACACTCTTTTTGGAGTGCAAGTAATCCACATGAAATTTAAGGCATTTTCTAACAAATTAAGTAAACGGTTATATGCTGGGTACTCGACTTCATTCACCTGAGCCAACAGCTGTGCACCTTATAAAGGTAACTAGCTGACCTATGATACATAGCATCCATTTATGAAGCATCCATTTATGGAGCAACATTATTCTGCCTGACCCTATCAACATTTACATGATTTGTAAAGCAATATGCAAGTTTTACAAGCTTTTAATCCATGAGAATAAAGCACTTGGATCATCCCTGGAGCATGGACCTTGGCTGTAACTCCACTCATAACCTACCTCAACTGCTCTTCAGTGTTTCTGAAGCCAAGCCAAACTTAGCATACATTATGAATAGATCGAGACAACTTTAAGATGATCAGGAAAAAAAATAATAAAAAAGACAACTCAAGCAGCTGAAGAACAGTACATTTCTCAGCCTTTACATTCAAGAACATCTTACAAATGTCTACAGCAAATGGGTAAATTCACCCCTAGTCTAACTTCACTGAAGTTAACATTTTTGCAACAAGAAAAAACAGGCCTAGTATCTTAAGAGTCTGTCACTAGATAAAAAAAGTCACAGTATGTAAAAACTTAATCAAACCCAGTTGAATACAAATCAATTCCCCCAGTATTTTTGCACCTAACAGATAACTGATACAGGTAACTGAGAGTATCTCTGTAATGCATCAGCTCTGTTAGACAATGGGCTGCTCTCCCTATTCTTTTGTTATCTATTTCCAAACTGTAGCCAGTAATTTGTTTCAGCAATGACTGCCAAATTTCTGCAATGAAAACAAACAGCGTATGTTACTACCAATAATCCGATTATTTACAAATTCTCTGTAGAACTGCAGACCTCCTATAGCATCCTAACTACAAATCAGAACAATTGGAAAAAAAAAAGTATATATGTAAAACTTCTAAATAACATAACATCAGCTAAAAACCATTTGAGACCTTGATCTTACATCTAGAATCTGCTAAAACCAATTGCTTTACTTGCGTGGAGTTCAGTGGACATTTTACAATCTGCATTCCTATGAGCCTTCATTTAGACACAGTCCGATGGCTGTCCTTAATCCTTCACCCCGGTGCCATAAATGTTATTGCTAATCTTTTGATGCTTTTCTTTATACAACAAAAAAGGCAAAAGAACTGCTAGCTATGATTTAGGATTCAAATCAAAAGCCTCCAGACTTTTCAAGGAGTAGAAAATCTGTAACATTCCTTCACCCCACTGAAATCAGTTCCTAAAAGGCTGTAAGCTCACACTCGAATATTCAAATCAAGGTACATTTTAAAGAGTTTTCTTAGCGTACAATTTACTGCTTCCTAAATAACAGTTCTAGAAAAGTCGATTTTTAATCCCCATTATCAGTTCTGTATTTGCCTGAAACACTACATCTCTCTCTTTGGCAAAGCCATTTCAATTACAAACGTAATGCCTTGTTTGCACTGTACTTATTTACATTAGATGTAAGAATACTTGAATAGATGTGTGAAAGAAGAGTCTTCTTAAAACACATTTAAAAGAGAACAAACTATTTGTGACTCTGGATACCCGAACTCAGTTGAGATAACCTCTGCAACACACAGCTCCACATTTACAGACAGTTCTGATCCTCTTTTTGGAAGGGCTGAGACCATCAGCAGAGTCTGCAGTCAGATCTATGGAACCTGTGACACAGATAAACACAGATAAGGAAGTTTTAAAAGACAGACTGAAACTGTGCTAGGTATTCAAATGGTTTCAAAAAGCCTTCTAACACCCCAGTTCTTCAAAGAATTATATGTGAAGCTGTACTGAAATTTACTGACACCCACATTACAACTACTTACACAATACCTAGCAGACATAGAGAATCCAAAGCTCAACAAACTCAGCCTTGTACCCACAGGTCTGCATCCACCGGTCAGCTGAGACGGCAGCCTGCCTGACCATTAGTGTCACAGACACCACAAAAAAAGAGGAGTTTTAAGGATTTTAACAAGATTGGTTTGTCAGCACTAAAAGAGAGCTTCTACAAGAATGAGGTACAGTTCTGGAGTGTAGAGATGCTTCTTTGAAAACTAAATAATGCAGCGAACAATACATCGCTGTTGTGGATAAATGGTTTGCGCACAGTTTGACACATGCAACACCCCTGTCAGCAAACCTCAAGAATTTTCTATTGTACTGGGAAGAAAAAACAACAAAGTAGTCATAGAATGGTTTGGGGTGGAAGGGACTTTTAAAGACCTGCCCAACTTCCCTGCCATGGGCAGGGACATCTTTCACTAGATCAAGTTGCTCAAAGCCCCATTCAACCTGATCTTGAACACTGAAAGGAAGATCAGTTATCAAAGAACCATGGAACAGCCCAAGTTGGAAGGGATCTCAAAGGATCACCTGGTACAACCTTTCGTGGGAAAGGGAGCTTAGATGAGATTATCCAGCATCTCCTCCAACTACATCTTGAAAACCTCCAGTGATGAGGACTCCATCACGTGCCTGAAGAGCTTGTTCCAGTCAATGATGGTCTCACTGTAAAAACTCTGGACTGGCCTTCTTCTGTCCTATGCATCTACATCCACAACTGAGGCCTACAGACATCAGAATCCAACGACAAACCTACAGTGCCTTAGACCACTCAGCTGCTACAACTGTCTTTACAACTATCACTAGTAGACTACTTCAAAAGTAGTTTACCTGGAATGCCAGTTTGAATAAAGGGAAGCTTTTGACCATTCTCGTGACAAATCTTCAAAATAATTTGCCTTGCCAGACATTCCAACCACAACCCCTCGCTGTGCGTAGGGGCACTGAAGGAGGTAACGCACGAGAGGTGCGTGCAAAAGTTTCTGGGTGTGCTCTATCTATGCCACACATCAGTGAGTGCCGTCTGTTCTAGAATCCACAGAGCTGCGTTAGGGAGATGCGGTGCCTGACCTAAGATGCTATCATCAGTCAGACTGCAACAGGATCCGCCACTGCCCCAAACCTCCCGCAAGAACAGTGCAAAAATCTGCAGACCTTTCATCTGATAGTCAAAGGTTAGCTCTTCTCCGGCCTTGATGGTTCGTGTAGAAAACAGCGCTATTCGAGGAAGACGCAAGTCGAGGTTATCAATAAACACATTGAAGACCTGAAGATTTGGATCACACTGTAAGGCAAAAATTAATGTAGCTTCTGTTAAGAAAAACACACAGTAAGTTTCACTGAAGTGTTTAAGTAAACCAGTGTTACAGGAAAGGAAGAACTAGTTCTTCTCTCAGTGACAGAAGTCTGAAATTAAGTTATCTTCCGAAATCAGCAAATTACCTTCTTGAAACAGCATTAAAGGAGAATATTCATAGCTTAGAGTCCAGTCCTTTCAAGAAGGCAACCTTTACAGAGTATGCAGACTACACTAATATGCAACAGCCTACTAAAAACCGCAAAAGGTAACTTCAAAAGACGACAACAAAAAAGATGACAAACAAAGCCATTAAAACTACATTCAGAAGTTAGTATTTACCTATGAAACCCATAAAAAGAATTACAGTTGAAAGAAAAGACAACCTAGCATCTCAAGTCACACACACTCACTATTCTGTATTCAGGTTTAAGCACTGCTTCCAGGCCAGATACAATATTTTCATACTACGAATAAATTTCTATATTCAATTGCTATCCTGCCCAGCTTCTGAATTATCCGCTACGGGCTGGGTGGCAGTGGGAGGGTCAAGGACACTAAGCAGGAACTAGAAACCACTTTATCGTTTTTTTTTTCTGGATTAAATGTCAGAAGTCAGTAGTCACAGACAGTTTGTTAAACTCTGCACACTTTTTTCTCTTTAACAGTAAAATATATCTCAGGTTAAAGAATCAGAAGTGAAGTCAGACATTTAATTTTACACTGAAGAGTAAGAATACTTCACTCTCATTTCTGAAAGTGAAGGGCAATTGGCTGTATCTAAAACTCTTCCTTCATGCTTCTGCCTGGCAAGCCCACATGAAATACAGACATCATCAGCTCACAAATCTGAAGACATGAATTTACTGTATTTGTAGAACACTGGCTGCATATCTCACAAACAGTACAGCAGTAAGAAATAGTAACTTTTAGTTCAGCAATCTTTACAAATGCAATTCAGCCTTCTTGCTTTAAGTACTTCAGTTGAACAGGAAATAAAACACTAACAAAACTTCCTGTTTAAAATTTACTTCTGAATTCTTTGGCAAGTTTAGATTTGGTATGAGGAGGGGAAAAGGAATCTGCAGGGCACAAATACCCCAAAGAAAGCGCAGAAATTTTCATTTTTTCCTCTAACAATGTTTGAAAGATGAAATTCAGCATAACACCCCACTGCCCTGCTACACAATAATGCATCAATTCCTATCGTCTTTGATTCTTCACTAATTTTATTAAGCACTTCTCATGTGTTAGGTCTTTTAGTGACTTGGAAACACACACACCCAAACCAACGCTATTTTGGTTGTCTAGAACCAAGAGATTCAGTGACCATCCCAGTCCTACCAAATGCCCCCACTTCAAGCAGCATCTTGGTCCCAAATTTTTGTAGGTAGTCCTACGCTGAGTAAAGTTATGTATTCTGTTCTATTTATTATGTCATCTGACTGACTGGACTGTGCTGGCATGAAACAAACTACTCCAGAAAAACTGTGCATATAGTAAGAAAATATTTACAGTAGGAGAAGATATTTCTGGCACAATTAGGATAATTCTCCAAATTCTTAGTATACAAAACAAGGTCTTACACTGTGATTCACAAAGTGGGACACATTTCCATATCGAGCTGCATCTACTGTAAATTCATCTGAGTCATAGTCCAAATCAAACAAGTATGTATTTCCCTGGTTGTCATAGAGCTGGCCTCGTCTCTCTGCTTCCTCACTTGTAATCACCTAAAAAAAAGAGGAAAAAAAAAAAAAAAAAGAAATCTGCATCATATTATTAACTACTACTAAATTAAAACAAAAGTCACAATCAAGTTAGAAAAAGAACTGTACTTTGTAAAAAAAAATTAAATTTGCTTTTTGATGTTGAAATAGCATTCTGTATCTAATGAATAAAGAATACATACATACAGCTAAACCAATTAGTTACTGAGGCTTTTCTGGATGCAATTTGTCAACAGCTGATGTCCTTCCTCATCTCAGGAAAAAAATATCAGCACTATTAAGAGTCTTCATGATGACAATCAACTGTTTCTACTTGAAGTTTCCATACCCACAATTTTTTCATTAGACCCAGATAATCTTGTTTACTTCACGTAAAATAAAGTTGCAACTTTCTCCCTTTGCCCAGACGAAGATCAACAGGTATCAGTCTTTACAACACAGTCACATTTACAGTCCAGCACCCATCTCCTGCCTTCCCTAGAAGCATCTCTTCCTGCTATTTTTGACTGCAATGAAAGATCCTATTCATGACAACTTAGACAGATACATCACTTCACAAAGCTGAATCTATGCAATTAGGCTAGCACATACTAGCACAAGGTAGAAATCCAGAAACTCCCCAAAGGAATAGAAGAACTAGTCACTTTTGCAAGAAGCAACAGCTTAAACAATTTCATCTGCAGCCTGTTACGTTAAACGTATTCTGTTGTGCAGACTCAGCAAAGAAATCACAATTTGGCAGCAAGACAGATATGAAATGTAGTGTAATTGGGCAAAAAACCCTCACAAATCTTTCTGACAGATGAGATTTGAGAACTTCGCAGTAGGGAATAAGTACATTCAGGTGAAAGGGTAAATAATCTTCCATTTAAGCAACAAAATTATGTAATCATGTTCCTGCATTAATGTTTCAACACACATATTTTGAGTGACTGACCTCTTGTGCATTTACAAGTATGAATGTGAGAGGTCAGAAGATTTGGGGCTGGAACCATGAAGGAAATACAATAAAGACCATAAACATTTGTACAAAGGGACAGGAGGAATTATTTTGAGTCAACTCAGTAGCAAGGCAGATTTGTGGCACAAATACAACAGACTGGATCAGAAATGCTGCCAGGAGCTACTCGTGTAAAGAGCCCTGACGTGGAGCAGAGGCTGAACCCGACAATCACAGGGCAACACAATGGAACTCAAGGTCTGTATTTTATAACATGAAAGTTCTGTTTGAAATAGTACGAGATTGAGTAAACAGATAAAGTCCCCACCACAAGTCTTATTCTTGACGTTAATCAAAAGTAATAAATATGTTTGGAAATACTACCTTAGAAGTTCAGACAAAACAGAAAGGACTGACAGACTGGGTGGGGAGTTTGGTAACAACTGTGCCTGGGGAATATAAAAAACTACAATAATAAAGATGATCAGGAAAGAATGAAGAATATGACCGCCATGAAAGAAAAGAAGGACTTGTCTTTAGAAATACTATTAGGACACGTAACTTAAATAATTGTTTAGCGACACACAGGATAAGTATTCTCTTTACATTCAACCTTTTACAATCGCTCTAAAATAGACAAGATATTGGACAATATTCTGGACAACGTATTTTTTTCTGTCATCTAGAATGTCTATTTATCATATTCCTCTACTCAAAAGTAGACTTATCTATTATATAGTAGAAGTCAAGAAGCGTTAGAACTGACAAAGCTCATCAAGATTTTCTCCAACATTTCCTTTATTGTAAGTAATTCATCTATATGAGATAAATACGTACCTCTCCAACATACTCCATCACAAAACTGTTGGTTTTAATTTTCTGGAGGGTTTTTACTCCCCAACCACGGCCATTGTTAGTTCTGAAGATGCAAAGAGAATACGGCGTACCTTTCTGTACTATCCTATTAGGGCAGTCAGGCCCACACCTACAAAACGAATTGCATTCATAGATGGGCAAGCCAGGCTGGATTTTCAACTTCTTTCGTTTATTGTAAGCCAAAATAAATCCAGCCTCCTTTGGACAGCACTTCTCAGCAGGACAGTCAGTGCATTCACAGCCAGTCGTTATTCCATTTATTACATTTATTCCTGGAGCAGGTTTATACTCATTAATGTAGTAGAAGTCTAAAGGAGGGCCTTCAAGATCCACAGTGTTTTCTACCAGAATCATTGCTTTATGATTCTTTTTCCTGTTGAGTTCTTCTTTCCATCTCTGCAGAGCTATTCTTTGCTTAGCCTTCTTTACAATGTAATCTGCAACTGCAGGTTTCAAAGCTTTAACATGGTTTCTCACTTTCAGTGCTTTGCCTTCTCTCATCCGAGACAAATATTCATTCTTGTCACTAAGAAAGTTCTGAAGAAGCAATGGGCATTTCAGATTTTTCTGAGGTTCCCAAGTATTTGAAGATTCTGGCCATCCTTTCCATTTCACAAGATAGTATTCTGTACCCTTGAAATAGAGAAACAGATACAAGATTTAGCCACATTTCATTTTGCTGAAGGCCAGCATCACAGAGTACACAGACAAACACAAAAGAGCTCTGGAGTTAAGAAATGGCCTAAAGAGCAGAAGGTCTTGATGTCCCCATAATAATTAGAATTGGGGAGAAAGAAAAAAAATAAATCAAGTTTTCTGTTTGCAAATTAACTTATAGCACAACTTTGGATACTTTACATATCATCTCTAAGGGCAAAGAAATAAACCGATGAACTCTGATCGCTAACATTATACCTGGAGAAGGCTAGTTTGTTAAGGCTGTTAAGTAAGTTATACTAAGTAGTTGTATGACTCGTATGCACAAGCAGAATGTAGTTGTATCACAGAACAAAAAATAATTTTAAACTTAATGAAAAAATCTCTAAAACCTACTATTTGTCGTATCAACCATCGTCCCAAGACAGTAATCCATTCAAAATACATAATATTGTATTTATAATCGAGAAGCATACATTTTGTGCTTTTTTTAAAAAGGCCAAATAACTGTAACAAGGCCAAATCCTGAGACTGAATTTCACTAGCACGATCAAGCTGTTAGGAATCCAGTTGCACCACATGGCCCTAACTTGTCATCAGACTACAACAGTCTAGAGAGAAATACAGACTGTTACCTGCAAATAAAGGAGAAGCATCGTAATACATACCACGCTACAACCTAAAAGCATCAGCATTTTGCTTTACTTCTAGATAAGCAAAGGCAAAACATTTCATATTCTAGCATCTCCATAATTTCAGACTTTCCTTCAACATACCAAAAGCAGTCGTTACACCGCTTTGTTTACAGTTCAAAGTTTAAAAGATATTTCATTCAACGTCAGCAAGAGCTTTGTCCTCACAGCTTGCCACTTTTTATTATGAGCAAAACTACCTTTTGGCTCACTTCCAAATTTCAGCTGAAAGAGTGATCAAATTGGTCTGTGTTTCTCTTACCTCGTCTACCTTGTAGTCACACAAATATTCCACCTCATAACTCTTTAGATTCCTGTTGGTGATTCCAATGGATTTACAGCTGAGATTTTCCTTCCTACATAATTCTTGGAGGGTCTCAAGTGAAGCTAGACATGGCACATACCAAGCTACAATAAGAAAATTAGTAAAGAATCCTATTTAATGTCTTGGCTAAATTGAAATCATGCCTTATCCCAGAGTCCCCACATTATCATTTGCGATAGCAGTCCACGAGTCTCTTGTACAACTACAGTGTCTCTCAAACTCAACCCTGCTCTAATGGGTAAAGTGAAACACATCAATGATTCCCTTCCTGTGCCTTTATTCTGTACAGTATGTACATTGATAAAGAACAAAAAACATTTTGGAGGGCAGTGACTTCCACAGGTGAAAGCTGTGCTAAGAACCAAATAATTCCTACGATTAAAGCATCCCATAACTGAACTACGGTGACAAGGAAACCTCCATTCTTTAAGAAGACCGCCAAATATCTGTAGTTAGTCAAGTGGAATCGAGCACTTGCGATGCAACCATGGTGACTGAACGAGGAAAGAAAGATCCACGGCGCTCTTCCAGAAGGATCGCGGGTGCATTGTCAGCCAAGCGGATTTAAAGGGACGCGACACTCCGCAGAGCGGCATGGCAAGAGTGCCAGCTCCCTGCCAGAGCCCGGGAAACACGGCTGGGGTGGGGGGGGGATGAAGTTCAGGGCAGGAGCCGGCAGTTGCGAAGCGGCGAGGGCCGGGCCGGGC